CCAGCATTTGTTGTTTGTTGATTTATTGATGATAGCCATTCTGACCGGGGTGAGGTGGTATCTCATTGTGGTTTTTATTTGCATTTCCCTAATGCTAAGTGATGTTGAACATTTTTTCATATGCCTGTTGGCCATCTGACCATACTGTAGCTTTTATCATTATTATAGCACATACTCTTTCTACTTATAAAACAAGTTTGCTGTAAAAAGCATGTTGTGTTATGCTGGAAGCAGCAGCATGTGTCTTTTCTTGTTAACCATGTCTTCTGATTGCATCATTTTCTCTTATGTTTGATTTAATCTCATGTTGTTTTATAAATTTAGTGTAACCTACATGTCCAGTGTTTATAAAGTCCACAATCATGTACAGTGATGTTCTAGGCCTTGACATTCACTCACCCTCACTCACTGACTCACTCAGAGCAACTTCCAGTCCTGCAAGCTCCATTCATGATAAGTGCCCTGTACAGGTGTGCCATTTTTTATCTTTATACCATATTTTTACTCTATCTTTGCTATGTTCATATACACAAATCCCATGGTATTACAAGCCTACAGTATTCTGTGCAGTAACATGCTATTTCTCCATTTCAAAATCTTCTTTATTATCTTTGTGTGACCTAACATGTTACTTATGTAAAGCACTTTGAAATTATTCTTTGTTTGACCAACTTTGATTAGGCATTAATGAGTAAGGGGAAGTCTCAAGTTCAGAGCCTTTGAGAAGGCCACATAATGCTGAGATAAGGTAAACTTGCAGGAAGACTGTATCAGTGATCAAGTGCACTGGTCATTGGGATCTGGCCCCTTAATGGCCTTGGGTGTAACTTTACTTTGCCTCTTGGCGATTCTGAGAACAGAATGTCACATCTGTGTTTTATAAGTTGATACTGAAAATTCCTACAACAGTTTAGTTAATTACCATTATTAGAGCAAGACACTTTGATTCTGTGACTTAGGTGTAAATATCAATCTCATTATAGAATGTTTTGGCAGAAACTCGATATTCAAAATCTTACAAAAATAAAAGATGCGCTGTTTTGTTTTGTTTTTTAATTTTCAGCTACCTCTTTCTATTTCATTACTTCCAAAATTTAAATATTATGTACAGAACCAATTTTATAATGGTCAAAAATAAAAATTAAATTAAACAAACTTTAAAACCTGGAATGCTATTTTGTAATCAGATCGCGAAGAATGTTTTTGTTCTATATTTTAAGAGCAGTCTGAGCTCCAATTTTGATTTTAATTTAATTCAGGCAGACAAATTTAAAAGAAAAAGAATGTGGAGCTAATTTATCTCTTCCTGTGCAGGAAGGAAAAAAAAATGAAGGGAAAGGTCAGATCTGATGATTACAACATAAGAGATCATAAAAAAAAATAAAATAACAACTTGCACAAAAAAGGGAAGGAGAGAAAAAGAAACTATTCTGCCAATTCTTATTTTGCAATCTCCCGTTCATCTGTCTTTTCTCTCCAGTTTCACTGTTTTTCATCCAGGCTGAAATGGTTACTACTTTTGTCTCGGATCACAACAAGAAATTCAGAGCTTTACTGTCTCCAATTCTTTTTGCAAAACCTATCACTAGGCATAATCCCAACATGAAAAACTCCCAATAGTTCCTTTTTGCCCATAAAATAAGTTCAAATCTCTGTCCAATTTTATCTTTCACGATCCCAAATGTTAACCTATTTCTCCAGTCAGGCCTGTGAGCCCCTATTCCTTTGAATATGCTATTATATGTATTTCAGCACTCCCAGGCTTCTTCATATGAATCGATTGTCCAAATCTGTCCCCATCTTGAGCTCCCCTCTTTCTGAGCAATTTTGACATGTTACACTAGCATTAGTTTGTTGTTATTTTTTGTTTTGACTTTCTGCTCTGGGGAAGGTGCCATGCTTTACACGTGTCATTGCCATTTGCTCAGCACAGCACAGTCCCCCTGAATCTGGGGTAGAGAGCTGGACTTAACTCTGGTGTGGCCTTGCAGCTCCCACTCCAAGGAGGCCTGGCCAGGGAGGAGGATTACCAAGCATGGGCTCCCTGGTATTTATCCTTGAGATTTAATTAATCTTAAGAGTAGACTTCCATGAACCGGGGAAAATTAACAGATGGAGATTTCAAGAGACACCATCTCAGTCTTCACTACAATAGTTCTGGGTTAGAGCTGCTGTAAATATTTTTGGGAGAAGCCGATAGAAATAAAGAATAAAGAAATGAAGCAAAGGGAAGCTGGAAGTAAGACAGATGAGAGGATGTGAGGAAGGAAGATCCTACTTTGTATTTTGTAGGGTTGGATAAGAAAGTCCAGAGGGTTCTGTGAAAGTTCCTTTAGACAGGTCTACAATGATCTCACACTGTGTATCTAGTAAGGGTATTTCCCCTGCTCACTGAAAACCCCATTAAATCACCCTGACATTCATATTAGATGAATTAGTTACTGTATTATTATAGTTTATGTCCTGCTCTAAAGCATTTAAGGTGTATTAAAAACATTTAAAAGATGTATTAAATATAGTAAATTCACAAATTAGTATCAATTAGAAAACTAGCGTAGGGAGAGAAAAGTAGGTAAAGACCTCTCTGTAAACTAGCAGAGAGCTTCTGTCTCTCACACATAGCCTGTAAATCAGCAGTTCTCAACCTGTGGGTCGCGACTCCTTTGGGGGTCGAACGACCCTTTCACAGGGGTCACCTAAGACTATCGGAAAACAAAAAGATATTTACATTACGATTCATAACAGTAGCAAAATTACAGTTATAGAGTAGCAACGAAAATAATTTTATGGTTGGGGGTCACCACAACATGAGGAACTGTATTAAGGGGTCACGGCATTAGGAGGGTTGAGAACTGCTGCACTGGTTGTGAACAGCCCTTGTTTCTCATCATCCTCCTGCAGGCAGCAACACATCCTAGTGATCTTTCAAATGATTGAAAAGTCATGCCTGCAAAGGCGTTTACCTTCAGCAGCATGTTTTCCCAGGTCACAGCCAGTGAAACATTCAGCAGTTGGGCTGCCATCTTGTGTCAGGAGCCATCGATGGCCTAAATACTACTCAGGAGTGTCTTCTTTGCCAGGCCAGGCCTCCAACTCCAAAACCACCTTTATCAGCTTTCTCCTCTGAGAAGCAAACACCCAAGGCAGGATTAGACATCCAAGAGATTTATGGAGGAAATGCCTGTGAAGGATAAGGAGGAGGCAGCAGGCATAGGCAGGAAGAACCTCCAGACTGTAATGCAGGGTCTGACACCTGTGGAAAGAGGGGGAAGAAAGGAGGGGTGGAGAGGAAGAACCTCAGACTGTGGCACTGTCGCAAGAAAGTTTGTCCAAACTGAAGGGGAGGCCTGGAGCCAAAGCTACCGGTAACCATTAGAGGAGTCCCCCACCCCATCTCCCATAGCCTGGACTCTGTTAGTACCCTGCAGCCTGGGGAAGATGTGGTCACAGCAGGACCACAGTGGGGCTCCAGTGAAGTGGCAGTGGGGAATGTTAGTCAGCCGTGCTCCCCCAGCAGTGCATAGCCAAGGCTCCCTTACAGATGGTAAGGGCTGGCTTATGGGGTATGCGATCTCTGGCCTAAAGTCTTGTGTATTTGAATCTTTAGTGATTGTTGAACAGTCAGGATAATGAAAGTTTGGTGTTGTTTTGGGTTCTTACACATAGGTCAATATTACCTTTTGTAGCCTGGCTAACACATGACATTGAATGCTAATGCCAAGTATGCCTGTGTTTTACCAACAGATTCTCTCAGAGGTAGCAGGAGACATTTTAGAGTTCAATGTATCTCCAAGATCTTGAACATGGTGAGTAGCAGGATAGGTCATATGCAAAGTCAAAGCTGGGGGGTGGGGCAGGTTAGGCACTGATGAGGGAAAGTAAGCCGTAAATGTCAAAGAACACTGGTAGAAATATATATTACATATGAAACAAAGAAAATGATAAAGCATACTTTTAAAAAAGGAAATTATAGAAACGCAATGAACATATTAGAAACCATTACATTTGTAAAGCAATTTCTTTTTTAGTTTGGTTATATAAGAAGTCATAATCAGATTTCTGTGACATTAATAGGTAGCTTGATTTTTCTGCCTTTGAAGCTCCTTCATTATAATTGCATTAATTCCAATTTTAATCAGTTAACTGACAAATTTAAAATGTGCTGGAGGAATGTTCATGATACAATCTCCTCCCCCAAATAGTTACGTGATATTTCTGGGTTCTGCTACTTAGAACCAGCATTTTCCCAGAAATAGAAATTCGCTATGAATTAAGATTTTTGCGTCACACAATGGAAACTCCGCCTGGATATTCAAGACCAGTAAAGAGGATGCTCACGTTTCAATTTTTCCTTTATCCTTGTGTCATGTGAAGTTGCAAGGACATTTAGAGGGTTTCAAAGATGGAAGTTAGAAAAGTGAAATAATGGTAAAGTCTCTAAAGCTGTGACTAAAAAGCACTCTGCATCATGTGATAGAAAAATACAAGTCATTTTAGTTTTAAAACACAACTTTGAAGCCTGGAAGTAGTTAAAGATTGGAAAATGAAAGGATAGCTTTCCCCTTTCATTTTTAAAATGAGTTAAGAAATGAATTCTAGAGAATGAAGAAAAGCAAGGTTATCATAAACTTCAGAACCAGGGAAGATGAAATTAAAGGTGCAGACAGGCAAACACTGCAACCAAAGAATAAGGGAGGAGAAGGCCGGCTCTTGCCTGAGAGTCAGCGCTGTTTCTCTACCCAAACTGCTGAAATTGGAGAACTAGGAACAAAGATGTCCTTGGGGCAGCTGGTCCAACATGAGCAATCTGAAGGTGATTATTCAATCTGCGGGCAAAGTCATCTGAAATAATAACTATATGTCAGAAATGATAGGCTCTCTGTGTCACAAAGGAAGCAAAGACGTCGATTAGTGGGATAAGAGCACTGGTTTTCTTTCCTGGTTAGACAGAGTAAGTTATGCCCACGTTCTCATTTGCTATCCATTTATGGGGTGAACGTATATGGTCGGCGAGAGCGCTGAGAGTCTGGGACCCAGCTTCGTTCTTTTGTGGGGAGAGGAATGGACCGTAGATGGAGCCTAGCTTCCTTGATGATACACCTACCGGCTCACAGATCCTTTGGGGAAAGGCTGTGAATATTTTATCTTTTTCTCTCTCATCCTCCTCTGTCTCCTCACTTTGTACTGTGTACAGTCAGTCATTGTCTCATATCTGTTTAATTCATGTGAGAGAAGGTGGGGGGAATCACAGGGAAATGTCTGGTCTGATCTTGTTTTGCAGATGAAGAACCTGAGTGGTTTGTTGTTGAGTAACTTGCCCACCATCACATGGTTAGTCCTAGAAGTGTTAGCAAAGTGTCTGCTTATCGGTTATATATCATTTCTAAAAGAAAAGAAGGTGGGAGCTTTGGTTGAATTAAAAAGGAGACCTTTCATTGTTGTGTGGTATACATATTAAATATTCCTATGCCTGCAGGACCATTAATAAGCAAATCAAGTAGGTATTGGCACAAAAGGACTTACATCTGAAGCAAAGAAGAGCTTTCACTCCATTTTAGCCTTCACTAGCAATATTTCTTGAAAAACTTATTACCAAAGGAAAATATCACTGAATGAATAGTGAGAAACACGAAGATGTATTTTGTTAAAAAAGTATTTTATTGAAAATGAATTCAGGATGTGAAAACTTTATTAGAGCTTATATTGTCTTCTTCAACTTGCCTAGAATTAGATTTGACAACCCTGTGTATTAATTTATGCTTGTTAATTATTAGAACTTAATGAAATTCTTCTGAAATAATATTAGAACTTCTCATTTTGAAGTATGGCATTTTCAAGCCTGCTTCGTTTTTTATCTGTCCTTATTAAACAAGAAGTGAACTAATCCTTCAAATCATTTCTTTCTGTCTATTGATATATACTTGTTTGTAATAAAAGTTATTTTTTCTCTAAACAATGTATCCAAATTTTTATATATATATATATATATATATATATGTTACAATAATTATAAATCCATATTAAATATTAGGTGAATATGAGTGAACATGGAAGGGAACCATCATTTATGTCTGCTAAGCATGTATATGTTTACATTTATACGTACTGTGTTCCATTCTCTGTCCTAGGTTCATTATAGGTATAATTTAATTTACTCTTTACAACAACACTTTTGTGTGTGTTATTATCTCCATTTTATAGATGAAGAAACTGGGGCTGACATAAGGTAAATAGGTTGCTTCAGATCACTCATCTAGGGAGAGAAAGTCTCTTTGTTAAAAGGTCTTTCTGCTTCCCTAGTTCATATGCCTTTCACTAGGCCAAAAAATGTAAATGGGAACTGAAAAGAAACAAAGAGATAAAATTATGAGTACTAAAAAAATCAGGTCCTGATAACCAAAAGATAACTCCTTTAAAACATACGACTTTCAACTTCCTATACTTCACAATAACTTCTCTTTCTATTTATTTCCCCTTCTCTCCATGATATTAATTATCTTTTTCCCATCACCATGGATGGGTTCATTTAGAGCAGCTGATAGACAAGACAAGAGAATAACAGGATCTAAGGGCAATTAGGTCCTCATCCATGAAAGACAAGTTCGGAGAGAAATAGACCGGATGAAAATGAGTATCACACATTATGGAGAAACTTAGCAGCTGTCATAATGGTAAAAGGAATGACCAGAGTGGAGGTAGGAGGTTGGAAATTTATATTTATGTGTCTATCCACTCATACTAAATAATTTACATTTTTGTTTTTATTGGATGGACCATTGGAAAAAAATGAGATTGGTTGTGCTCTATCAATTTTGTTGCCAAATCAGATTAGATGGTATCAGAAAAGAAGATAAAGCACCTTCAAGGTCTATAGTTCCTTGTCAGTAACATGCTGATTTTTAATGTTCTCTTACAAGTAAATTACCATGGTTCAAAAAACGAGAGAAATTGGATGACTTCATGTTAGAGTAAACGCAGAAGGACACTATCAGTGAGTCTGAAAGGTGAAGGATAAAGTTGAACAGAAGATATGAGACCATATCTGTGTATGCTGTGGTTTGTAAGAACAGCAATGAAATCTAAATGTAGATGGGAAGGAGTCTTGCGTAATGGCTGAGGGGTCTCTGCAGCAACTCCACTCTGCCCGTTGTGTTGAGAATGACCTTGGGAATGTTGCTTAACCTTTCTGGCTGCAATTTCCTCATCCAAAAGTGGGGTAAATCATAATAATTGTGATAATCAAATGAGCTAATTCATGTTAAGTCTTAGGACAGTGCCAGGCATATAATACATGCTTGATAAATGTTAGTCATTTTTATTAAGATCAGGAGGAAGCAGTGCAGGAAAACACAGGCCTTTGCCATACCGTGAGAAATTAACAGGCAGGGAGAAGCCTTTCCTGAGAGCTGATGCATTTACACATTCCTGTTTTATTTTATTTCCCATCCAGAGTCACTGCATAGATTGAGAATAAAAGGATCTAAACAGTTGATGGCTCAGTGAATTAAGCGTATTGGTCTTTCAGAATATGTCCATTTCAGGGCTTTATTTGAAAAAAATGAAATTACTATAATTAACTAAAGGTAAATTGCTTTTCAAAGTAATATCTGTTTACTGTAATAGTAAAAACAAACCTTATCACTTTGAGAGTGCTTTTAGTACTGAGGGGTGTTTATTTAAATACACATACACCACCACCACCACCACACTTATTCTTTTCACAGTGTCCTGTAGAGCGGTAATTGGATTCAACTGTAAATGTAAATTCTTCTCAGGGGACATGTTGATACTGGCCAAACCTTCTAATAAAATTAAACTTTTATTTGTGTTCCTATGGTCATTATTTATGGGACTTTTGGAACTATACGATTAATAAATCACTGTCCAAAGACCCACTTTGCCATTATCCACACGAAGCTACCATCCACATGCACGTTTTTTGGCTGCATGCTGATAAGGGAAAAATGATCTTTTGGTAAATCTTGTAAAGACATAAAAAAAGAATATTACTTGGGCTTCTGCAGTTAGAAACCAACCTAGGTTTGATTTTAAGAAATTGAGTTGATTGACTTTTGAGGTCCTTGTGTTGCCTGGTTTTGCATCTGTTTACTCCAAGACAATAATAACAGGATACTCTATGGAAAACTAGTTCACATGTTCATTTTTCATTGAGTACTGCTTATGGCACATAATTTGATATGTATCTTTTGTGTGTGTGAAAATATTCTGTGCGTTTATAATGAAAACCTTATGTATATGAAGAAGGAAGAAAGAGAATTTGACTGGAATTAGGAACCCAACCACTTCCATCATGCCTCCTGCTATCTCCCAATTCTAACCATCACCACCTCTGGCCAGGATTATTGCAACGGTTGCGACAAGGGACCTCTCTTTGTACCCTTCTCCCTTATGCTCTCTTCTCAGTACAGCTTCCTCTGCTTCAAACCTCCCGTGTAACTCAGAGTAAAGCTCAAAGGCTGTACCATTGGACCCCTGTGACCCCTGACCTCTTCTCTTGCTCTCATCGCCCCGCCCCTTTAGCCATATTGGCTCTGTTGCAATTTCTGCTCTCTGCAGCACTATTCCCGTAGATATCCATGTGGTTTACCCCCTCACACCCTTCAGGTCTTTATCGAAGTGCCACCTTACCAAATAAACCTTCCCTGTCCACCCTGTGTATAATACCAAGCCCTGCATCCCAACATCCTTTACCTTCTTAATCCAGGGTGATATTTCTCCATAGCAACGGTCAGCATACATCAGAGTCTCCATTCATTCATTTATTGACCCTCCTGTCCAG